TTTTTTTTTTTGAGACAGAGTTCCACTTTTGTTGCCCAGGCTGGAGTGCAATGATCTCAACTCACCACAACCTCCACCTCCTGGGTTCAAGCAATTCTCCTGCCTCAGCCTCCGCTGGGATTACGGGCATGCACCACCATGCTGGCTAAATTTGTGTTTTTAGTAGAGATGGGGTTTCTCCATGTTGGTCAGGCTGGTCTGGAACACCTGACCTCAGGTGATCTGCCCTCCTCAGCCTCCCAAAGTGCTGGGATTACAGGCATGAGCCACCATGCCCTGCCTCCTGTTTCACTTTTAGTTTCTGTTTATATGTATTGTCCCTATGTTGTGCAGTTTTCTCAAGTCTTTTTTGAGAAATAGGCAGGGTATAACTTTTCAGTAAGTATCATGTTGGGGCATATATATTTAATAGTGATATTTTGAAAAACTATGCCTTTTAGTACCCTCTGTGTCTCTTTTACTATTTCTAGCCTTAACTTCTCTTTTCCAAATATTATAATTAAAACCTCTTGCTTTTCTTGAATTTGCATGGTAGAGTTTAGCTTAGCATTTTATTTTTAAATTTGTGTATATATTTTGCTATACATCTGTACATAAACAGCAAATTGTTAGACTTTGTTTTCTGGTTCTTTCTGTCAAATTCTTTTGCTGGCTATACAAGAAGATCTATCAACAATACTATTGTTAAGCAAGGCACAATTTATTTTCATTTTAATATTTTAATATACATATTAACTAATTTAACCTGTAAAGGCCATGCCTATCCCTCAGCCCCATCTCTATGAGTTATTAACCACACGTGGAGTGGCATTTCTGGATAGACTAGAGGTCTGCCATTGGGCCCACCTGCCTCTCTTCTTGTCACATTTGGGTTCAGTGTCAGGATGTGATCTAGCCCATTCCTCAAGTTACAGCCTCTGACTTCAGGGTTCTCAGCTATAACATGGGGGAATGATGCCACCTCACAGCCTTGGGGGGCTCAGAGGTGGACGGAATGCAAATATGCTTAGCAAACTATGAGGTGCAGTTGATTATTACATCATTAGTATTTTGAAGTATTTCTTTTCTTTTTTGAGATGGAGTCTTGCTCTGTACCCAGGCTGGAGTGTGGTGCTACAATCTCGGCTCACTGCAGCCTCCGCTTCCCAGGTTCAAGCGATTCCCCTGCCTTAGCCTCCCAAGTAGCTGGGACTACAGGCACATGCTGCCACACCTGGCTAATTTTTTGTATTTTAGTAGAGACAGGGTTTCACCATGTTGGCCAGAGGCCTCCCAAAGTGCTGGGATTATAGGCGTGAGCCATCATGCCTGTCCTTTTTTTTTTTTTGAACTTTTTTGTGATGAAGTCTTGTTCTTGTCATCCAGGCTGGAATGCAATGGCGAGATCTCCGCTCACTGCAACCTCCACCTCCTGGGTTCAAGTGATTCTCCTGCCCCAGCCTCTGAGTAGCTGGGCTTACAGGCACCCGCCACCAAGCCCAGCTAATTTTTTTTGTATTTTTAGTGGAGATGGGGTTTTGCCATGTTGGTCAGGCTGGTCTTGAGCTCCTGACCTCAGGTGATCCACTTATCTCGGCCTCCCAAAGTGCTGGGGATTACAGTTGTAAGCCACTGTACCCAGCCTTTTTTTTTTTTTTGAGACAAAGTCTTGCTCTGTAGCCCAAACTGG